AGTCATTGCCTGGATTCTATTCTGACCACCCTTGGCTTCCTCATCCCTGAGAGAGCAATTCGCCCTTCCTGCAACAGAGACAGGGGAGTTCTCCTCTGAGAATACATCCTGGAGGAGAACCAATAAAGGAATGCTACATATCTGACAAGAGGAAGGAAAAGAACTGTGCTTCCCACTGTATTTCACCTCCTCTAATCCCTGATTAGAGATAGAATGATCCTCCCTGCAAGGATGTGAAATGCATTTCATGAATTTCTGAAAGGAAGGCAAAGGTAATTGCATACTCGGAGTCTCCATATTGCTGGCAGTCATGCAAAAAGCTACTGGCAAACTGCATGGGAAAGCATACAGTAAATGCAGGCCAAGAAGTAAAAATAAAAAATAATGGCAATTCAAACGTACTCAGTCTCCATAGTATCAGAAATATTGGTGAACAAGACACATTACTTACCTGTAGAAGGACCTTCAGTAGCATAACCTTTTTACCAAATCCCTGTGAGATGTTACTATACAATAATTGCCTATATCTAAAAACCCCACAAAAGAAACCCAAACCCAAACCCAATATACCCCCAACACACCATGATTTGAAGTTCATTGCTTTCATAGAGGGAATTGAAGAGCCAGGAAATTGTCAGAAACTGAAGCTGTATAAAGAACATATATTTAACCATAATCTAAAGTACACCACCTGCAAACTGGGAAGGAGGTTTGAACTTGGCAATACTGATAGTTCTGCAGTTATATTGTTATGCTAAACAAACTGACCATAAGTGAGCATAAGGAGATCCTCACAGCTTATACATGTATAAAAATAAAGACCAGAAGATGGAAGTGATAAAAGTGGTCCACCTCTTTCAGCTGAAGCAAATAGGTTTTACTTTTTTAGCTGACAGCAAAATAGAAACTGAAAAATATTCAGATCAACTCTTAAAACTGAAGAAAAAAAGGAGGCTGTTGCTTGTGTCTTTTAGCACAGGTCAGGTCACTAGAAGTCTCATCCCATGAGATGTGGAGTAGCTGCACATGTACTCTGAAACAGTTTTTATAGTATCTGGGAGTTGATCTGAGGCTTGCTTGACTGCGGGATGCCTGGGTCTGTTGACCTCCACTGGTATGGAAATACTGGTCACGTCTCTCCTGGCCTGTCCCCATTCCAAACATCCTTCTATACAGACAAGTGACATTTTGTTCCATTCCATTTATTTTGTAAAAACCAAAAGTTTTGACCAGAGTGTGGGAAGAATCTGTATTTTTTATCCTTCTCAGATCTTAGCACACATCCCACAGAACAGAAAGCTGAAATTACTTGTTTCCTTTATTAAAAATGAAAAAGTTCACAGATGTTGATCTGTCAGTCATTTTCCCTGTTAAATGTCAACATATATATGAGGTTACAAATAATGCAATATCCAAGTAAGATTCAAAATTCTTTTTTTTAAAAAGTGCATTTGACAGACAGTGCCAATCTATTTCCAGCCTCCTGAAAGAAGCCTTTTCCCTCTCTCCCCAAATTATTTTCCTCTGTTGTTCACGCTGTTACCTGTCATTACAAACACAAATCCTTTCTGACAGAAGCCAAAGAAGCTTGGTTATAAAGATACAGCTTATAAACCCAAAACTTCCAAGGTGTACATTCTCTGCATTAAGAGTACCTGTATCCAGAACAAGGACTAAGGTAAATGCCAGTGACAAGGAGAACCTTCTGCTCCTGACTAGGGCCCACTCCTCCTACAAAGATAAATACTCCAAAATTTATTTGCCTCTTTTTGATTGTTCTTATTGATATTTAATGCAAGAGGATGTTGCACACTGTTTCTTTAGAAATACAAATTACAAAATAAAATAGAAAACAGAAAATTAAATAGTCAAGATGATCATCTTTCAAACAAGCATAGTGGAAAGATGTTCTATCACATTCTCTCCTCTGTGGCCAAATTTATTTTAAAATAATGAAGGTTTCTAGAAATTCCTGTGTAAATTATTAACTTTACAAAATATATAAAGTATGCATTAACTACAAAGGCATTGCACTAGGTGTCCATTCATGTTCCTGTGCTGGGAATATAAACAGCTCTTCATACTTTTTTTTAAACATACAGATTTAATCTCACAGATTCGTCTCTCTGTTCCTTTTGTCTCAAACCAGAAACCTTGCCCAAGCAGTTTCTCATGAGCTGAGGTCAGTGTGAGGTTTAGGACTTACCACATAACATATTCACATTTGTGCTTTCAATTTACTGTATAGTGATTTTAATTCTTTAATATTAGATTATATCAATATAGTTGCACTCATTCCCTCTAATAATTCAAACCAATCAGCCATATATTGCTTTTGCTATTTCTCCTTAAATGATTACATTTACATGCTACCAGTTCATTAACATAACTCACAATAGCAAGAGATAAAGGGGAAAAATTGATACAATTAATGAAATCACGACAATGAAATCAGTCCCTCAAAGCCCTGAATTTTTAGTGAAGTTTTGCTATGTGGTGAAGCAAAACTACAGCTGTCAAAAATATGGCATCCCAACACCATTAACAAATTTTTAAAATCCCATCTGCAGGCAATGCAGTGCAGATAAACAGATGTCGCAGAAGTACAAAGCCCAAAGAAGAAAAAATGATTTGACAGTTCTAAGGTTTATATGTCTGAAAAAAAAAATAACATATGTTTCTCTGATGAAGAAAGCCTGTGAAATGTAACAATTCCTAATGTTTATAAATAGCTATTGAATGACTAATGCACACTTAATACCTGCATTCATTATTGTTTTGAGTTTCCTAAGGAACAGTAAGTAGATCAATTAGAGAGGACTACAAGTTCAGCATCTTTCTGTGTAGCATTAGTTGTTTAGTTTAACTGGAGAAGGTCCCTACACTATCTTTAATCTGCTTGTGGGGTTTTTCTTCCCCTGTCCAAGAACTCCTCTCATTAAAGTGAACTCTTCTGAAATATGCAATGCTGGCTACCTTGGTCCCACTTACTAATGGTCCTGAATTGATTCTTAATTAGTTGCAGTTTGGTCAGAATCCCATTAAAATAGATGAGTGTTCCAACAGGAAAGAAGGAAAAGGCTGGTGTTCTGCTGTGAGCTGCTGAGACTGGGGGTGAATTTGCACCCACAGTGGCAGGGAAAATGCGCTGAGATTCAAATCACGCTCTGTGTTCTGGTTTGAACAGAAGCCCTCATACTGTAATTTATTCTCCATCTATAAAATATGATGAAGAAATGCATCCAGATGCTGTTAGAAAAATTGCATTGTTCCAATACTCTTATAGTCTCTTCTTAAGGAAAAGAAAGGATACTAATTTAGAAGAATAGGAAAGCTTTTCAATAAATAACTGATATTTTTTGGTATAATTTTAATTGTTATATATCTTCTAACCCTTTGTTTATATTCTAGAAAGCCTCTGGGAAGCTAAAGATTATATTTTCATGTTTTTCTTCCAAATGACTGAGTATTGCTATGAACTGCAGAATATTTTTTGCTAATGAAGTGAATCAGTGGTCATTGTACAGCTATTGCTTTATTATTTGAGTTTAATTATAGAAAATTGAGGTATCAAGGAAAATATGCTCTTTTAAAGCCCTATCTGGAGCAAGTATCCCTGTTGTTAGGGAATAGTGATGTCACGTGAGCAGCTTTTGTATTCAGCAGCAATAATTCACTGCCTGCATGGGGGGATTGATCCCAGCTATGCCTGCATGGGGGGATTGATCCCAGCTATGGTATCCCCAAAGGAGCCTCCACTAGGAATAGGCTCACATACTTTGATCTGTAGATTAACATGAGCAGGATCACAAGCCTTTGTCTCTTGTAAACATCGTATGTCCCTAAATTTGTATCCAGCAAAAGGCTGAGTCTTGTGTTTATTTGGGTAATGAATTGCAGTAATTAATGCATGCATTGATTCCTCTACTGAGTCTCCCCTAAAGGCCATTTCCATTTTTAATTTATAGAAAATGCATACAATTCCTTTAATCAGAGCACAGTCTGGAATCTATAATAAACACTCAATGCAAAAAAATAGGGCTTTAAAAGAGAGAAAATAAAAGTGAGATTACTGAGCAGAATTAAAGAAGGAATTTAGGCAAACAGAGTTGCATTTAATATCATATTAAAACACAGCTACATAGCAAGGAGTATATGTATCTGGAATTTTCAGGGCAGATCCAAACCCATAAACAGAGAATCAGAAATCCTATTATTTTATTGAACAGATTTTCACTTACTTCAGGGCTCAATTTAGTCCCTAACACATGAATGTATATTTCTGTCACATATTTCTACAAAAAAGGATGTTTCAATGCTGTCTTTTTCTCAGTCTGTTAGGGCTTTTGCATCAAAAAAGACCCTACCATTTACTGAATATTCTTGAGGGGGAAAGATTTAAAGGAAAACATGAGCTTCCTTTATGAATTGAGAATATATCTTACTGCTAAGTGCCAAAACTGTACTGAGAATCATACAAGATGCAAAATGCAAACAGCCTTCCCTTCACAGTCCTTCAGCCCAAAAGCAGTATTTTTAGCATTCCAAACATTCCCTGATCTTAAACTGGATCATTCTCAAACAACATGGCTTCAGAACAAAGCAAAAATCAAGGGCAAGCCAAATAATACAGTTGATAAATAAATAAATAAAAAGAAAAAAAAAAGTATTTCTTTTATTTCCTGCAGTACTTTCAGACACTAAGATTATAATTTTCCTTGTTTGGGAAATGCCTGCCTTGTATCATACAGTCCTTTGTATATGTAACATTGCCATATACATACTGAAATGTGCGTTAAATTTGCCGGGGGAAGTATGAAAATACAACATTATAAATACACAGCTAGGAAGATGATGCTGTACTGAGGAATGCAATCCAATATTTTTATGAAATGTACAGGTGATATAAATTAGAAAATACCCCACGGTATGTATGCAGCATAAAGGACACAAAAAGAGAGACTGATTTGGAAGCACACACAAACTAAAGGAATACCTGATTAACCTTTCACTGACTCCTGGTCCACGTGATGCAAAGCTTGCCTTCCTCCTAGAGTGATGGCTTTAGAAGAAGATGTTAAATTTAACCTCTGGCGCAATGATAAATTGACAATAAAAAATTCAATGGCTTGGTAATTACCAATCACTTTGGACATCGGCAACATTTTTCAGTTCTGTCAGTGCTCATTGGCACAAAAGCTTCAGCTGAAATTCTCTCGATCTCCCTCTTTTTAACTTTGTTTTCATGATGCAGATTAAATCTGCCACCCTATTACTGATTCATTTTCCTAATTTTTCATGTCTGCACCATGCCCCAGCTGCACTAGGCTGATAATTGTGGAGCCCAGCCCTGATGATTAACATCAGAAGAATTAATTATGCCTGCCATTAAAATTCCAGGTTGCACATGGTGATCAAGAAAAATTAAGTTTCTCTAGGCCTCTAAATCATTTCACCTTTGAGGAGAATGATAGTGACTCGACAGCTAAACTGCAGCCTGCGTTCCAGAAAAGGTCTAAACCGCGCACCCTTTGTGTAATTCCTTAAATACCTTCCTAGTTATTCTTACTGGTTTATTCCACTTGCTAAAAAGATTTACTGCTCTCAAATAAAGACAACTAAACTATCTAGCTGATTGCTCAATTTCAATATACACAATATTTTTCTGCTCCTTTCTAAGACTCTTTAAGGAGTATCTGTTATAATAATTTCCAGGTCAAGGCATCACACAGAGAAAGGAAGATCCAGGCACAGAACTAATTTCATAGAATTGGTAGATAATTTACTTTTGTCCCAGTTACAAACTGTAGGGAAAATTATGTTTTTAGTACTACATAAGGACAATGATTTTCTCAGAAATAAATTGATAATGAAACAAAACCAGATTCCTAAGATCTTCAGGCTAAATGGTAATGAGTAAGGAAAAGCCTGTTGACTGACTCATTTCAAAATAGACTATTGCATGTAAAACTCAAAATGTTTTCAGTCTAGCCTAAGGTATGACATTTACTAGAGCCATAAAGGGTAAGATGATATGAGTTTATCATGTTCTTTCTTCACACTGTGTTTCGTTTTTAAATTACCATAATCACATATATTACAGGCTTAGCTTAGAAGACTGTGATGAGGAGTCATATTTTGACAATCACATGTAAATATCTTATTTAAAATTATAAATATCACAAGGAGTATGCATAAACTGTGGGTCATATCTGCTTCTCTTCCTAAATTTAGGCAGTACCAACACAGTAAAACTATTTAGATGTGGATATTGTTGTCAGCTTTTATAGGTGGCAGATTTCTAGAATAAACTTAACAGAATTGGACCAAAGAGCAGCACAAGAGCAATTATCTTCCCTATAAAATATGTTATAAAATAGGAATACTCAGTGCATTTAGAGATTAACTTCTACGGGAAGTCATGTGCATGGTGAAATAAGAGAAAGACCCTTCAACTTAAAACTTATATTCTTGAGTTTAACGTGAACATCACTGCTATAGCTCAAGGATATTGTATTCTATATAAAATAGGCCATTTAGAACTTGTGAGGACTTTATTGCACTCTCTCACAAATGACAACTAGCATAGTATTCGTGATTAAATGAACATTTATTGTATTTGTAACAGTATTCCAGGAATGCCATAAAATGAAGCATGAAGTCATCCATTTAAACATTTTTAAAACATGTCTTAACTAAAAGCATTGAAAGTATCTCCTTACAAGACTTATGGTTAAATCCAAAACCTTTTTCTTTCTGCCCCAGGGCACAGATAACTCAAATGTAGCAAGACTTTTGGCAAATCACAGAAGTATCCCCAGAGATCTAAGAAAACAGTCAAACACATTGTCAAAAGCCTATGAAATAAGAAAGAAGTCTGAATATACTTACTAGTCTTGTCTGTTTCTACCATCTGTGAAGACAGAGTAAATGGAGTCCTAAAAGGGAAAGACATGACAAGCAACACTAAGAAATGGAATCAAAACAGTGGTGTAAGATTGTCAAATTAGACCAGCATTCAGACCCATAAATTCCATTTTTAGCAAGCATGACTATCAGTCAATATATTTAGGTGATAAAAGGTTAATCACAGATTTAATTTTAAAACTTCAAACAGAGGATGAAAATTAATTGTACTGACTTTTAATAAATTTTAAAATTACTTCAAAAAGATTTATTATGTAAATGCATAAATGTTCTATCAGAATCACAATCAGCACAGTATGAGCTCTGGGAGAAGATTATTTTCAATGACACTATTCTTAAGAATGCCAAAGCATAATTTATCTTGAAAAAAGCTTGAAAGATTATTCTGGGATTATGGTTTAGGCCATGGAAGACAGGGTTTAATATGTTCCATTTTCCCTAAAAATCCAACAGCTTTTGTCCTATTAGTCCTTACTAGTTCACAGATGACTCTTGCTCCTACATATGTACCCATAGTACTTTACACACCAGTCAGCTGAAACGCAGCAGATGTTTAAGAGTACAAGAGGACAACAGCACTAGCATCGTCCTCCCAAGTCACAGAGTTAACACCCAGTCCAAATCCAGATCCCCTCATGTAAGGGTATTTGAATATTGTATTTGACTAACTATTGAAAACTAGTGAAACTAGTGAAAAGAGAAAACTTCAGTTGCGGTATTTAATACCTTTGTCTGTACCTTTTCTTTTGTCTGTAAAACTTTTCAGTTCTGAATCTCTAATTTTGGCTAATGCAAATGTCTACTCAAAACTTGACAGGGAAAGGGAAAGGGAAAGGGAAAGGGAAAGGGAAAGGGAAAGGGAAAGGGAAAGGGAAAGGGAAAGGGAAAGGAAGGGAAAGGAAAGGAAGGGAAAGGAAGGGAAAGGAAGGGAAAGGAAGGGAAAGGAAGGGAAAGGAAGGGAAAGGAAGGGAAAGGAAGGGAAAAAATCTGCTTGCAGAAAGAATTTCATGTAAGTACAGATACATTTATGTTATCATCTGAACTCAGAGAAAATTCTGCCAGAGTGCTGTCCAGATGTTAAATCTTTCACCATACTGGAGAGCAGATACAAGAAGTGACACTGCTTTTTGTCCAGTGAGATTCACAACCTGGCTGGCAAAAGCCTTGTAAATACTTTAGGATTAGGGTGATCAGCTCTAAATAACAGAAATTAGCCATACCACATTTTGCAATAACTTTAGAGATATTGAAATTGAGATTCAGTCATCAAAGGTCAGTGTCCCTGTATGACATGCATTAGACAGAGGTATCTGCTGTTTTAAGAGATACAATTACTATTTTAAGCCTTTTTTCCCCCCAACCTTCTAGGCAAACATCATCTACCACAGAAAAAAATATTTTGCATTGTCATTTATGGTCATCTCTTGCCATCCTTTATCCTTACTTTGCCTATCCATTCCAATTATATGATTGGTGAAATGAGTTATTACCAGACATCATTACTGTTTGGATTCTAACATTTTCTGGTAATTCCCATCACCACAGCTGTTTGAAAGCCTTTGCATCTGCCATCCAAAATTCTGCTAATGTGGTTTTCTACAATATCACATTACAAACTTGTGCTAGTTATACAATGTGCTCATCTTTTGCATTAAAAGAATCCCAACAGCTATCATGTGTACAAGATCTGCCTAAAGGACAACGAGGCTGTCAGACTAATCTCCTATGCACCTCCTTTTTGTCATCATTTTGGTGTGAGTACCATTCCAGTTTGAGCACCCACTTGAATATTGCCTATTAAGAGATTTTAAATTTATTTCTTATATATTAGCATTAACATGACCATGAACTTGAACACACTGTGACAGGTGCTATAAAACACATGGGTCTTTACCTAATGAGTTCACTTTCCAAGACAAGACAACTGAAAATGACAGACCAATGGAGAAATATAAGTCAGCAATGAACCAGATTTGTCCCCATGTAATTTTTTGGTTTTTGGGTTTTTTTTATGTAGCCATTACAGAAAAAAAAAAAAAAAAAAAAAAAAAAAAAAAAAGTTTGAGGAGAATAAAGTAAAAGCATATTTTTAAAGAGAATGAGAATCATGTCTGTCACTTTTATACACACACTGATATAACCAGAGGTGCTTTTAGCACTGATACTTATTCTTTGATGCGTTCCTCCCTTTCATGTTACTGATGTATTTTTTCAACTCCCAAATCTAGATGTAATTTTCCCATGGTGTCAATGTGAAACTCATGTCACCTCCTAGACTTCAAAACCAGTGCTAATAACACAGGAAAGTGTAAGAACATGCACAGAACAGCCAACAGTTAATTCTGAGTTGCTGCCTGGAGCATGAGTCCCTGAAGCCCAACATAGGCTGCCATGTTTCACTGCAACTGGTACTGTGCCCACCAGTTAGGACATATTAGCCAGAGTTCCAGAGGAAAGTACACCTTGTGATCATTAATTTTGTCCCACAGCTTCACTTGTCAAACAGATTGGGAGCAGAATGGAAGTTAGACATGTCTCCATCAGTCATGTATCTCAAGGCATATTCCCATACACAAGTTCAGTGTACCTCTGTGGACTAAAGTAGTTCAGCAGGTCTGATTCCAGCGTTTGTCCTGCCAATTTGCCATACTTTCTGATCTGTATCAACTCAGTAACAGAGACAACATTTCAGTGTGATGCAAAGATCGTGGAGGGCAACAAAGGGAAAAAACACACTTTGAATTCTATCAGGCTTACAATTATATAGAGATGTTACACTGATGTAGCTGGATATATCTGGCTCCAACATGAAATTAAAATTGCTTCTTCAGCACAGGCAAAGGCGAGTAAAGGCCTTTTTCCTTTACTGCGGTTGAATATCAGTTCAAGTACTCTGGTCTGCCTCACACAAGTAACCATTGACTCCAGGAAGATAAATTGTGTTTCTAAGACTAAGGTTTGTAGACCCATTTACTATCAGAAAGTTAAGAAGAACAACTAGCATTTTATGCACACAAATTCTGGACTTATTTTTATACTGATCACAATGAAGGGTACAAGTCTAAATCATTCCAGACTTGTTTCCAGTCAATTCTTAAATAAAGAAAATAGGATGATTTAGTGTACATCTTCAGTTCTATGCTAATCGTATCTGGGGTCAATCTCCCTGTCACTGCAATTTAACTTGCAGCATATCTGACTAAAATATAAGACAATGCATTCAGAATATATTTTTCTACGTGTAAATCCAGAAGCACATACACATTCAAATACGTATCAATGAAGTTGTGCCACATATTTATGGGGCATTTCTGATCACAAACTGCCTGAGGACGCTCAGGTGTCAGGTCCTTTCCCAATAATGTTGCAGCAGACCAGCAAGCTTGCCTGACTAATGTAAGTCATGAGACAACTTCTTCCACACCAACCTTGTAGAAACTGGAGATTATGGTCTAGCAGCCTGTTACCATCTGAGTACCATGGGCTGGTCACAGCAAGGATGTTCTGGCTCTGTGGCTGCCATCCTACACATCCCACCTGTTAAACTGCCAGAGGTAAGTAGGTTTTCACACTACAGATCTCTTCCCAACTCTCTATTCAGGGAAAACCATCTAAATTTGGAACATACGTTTTCTTTTACTACTCAAATCCATATTTATAGTCTAACTGGATTTGATCCTTTCTCAAGGATTTCTCTGTCCTAAAGAAGTTTAAGTCTTCCTAGTGTCAGGTCATTGTCTGATTCTACCATCTTTCACCTGCCATGTCCAGGAGACCACCCAGCTGATTCAGGTGGCAACTAGAGCTAGCTGATATCACTTCCATGGTTGATACAGTCCAAGGAGATTGTTGGTTCTTTTGGGTGCAGATGGCCAATTCTGCAAGGCAGGACAATGTCCACATCCCAGAAAAAAAGAGTTTAAGCACACAGAGCTAATCTTATATTCCTGATACATTTATAACTTGCTATGAATATTTTATACAATTAAATACAGGTTCGTGAAATCTCATGCAACTGGTCAGAGGCAGAGTTCTTGTGCTCCAGGTTTAACAGCTACAAATTATATTTAAGAATAGTTTTTTTCCTTCCAGTTTTAAGTTTTATTAATTAACTGTCACTACCTGCAGAGGGATCTCTTTTTAAATGTAAAAAGTAAAATGACATTTACTTAGGTCAGGCCGTTTTGTCAGCAAGAGCTGGTGGAATGATTCACACAAATGAAGATTTGGAAGAACATATCCATGACATTTTTGATTTCAAATCACCAGGGAAGACTTTGGAAATAGCAAAGTACCATGAACTAATTTTTTAACAATAATCAGAATACGGATACCTAAATGGGAAAAAAAATCCACAATACTTTTAAATGGAACTATCCTTAAAATATTACACTTTGCAAATAATTATTATGTTTAAGAAAAAGCAAACAAAAAACCCCAACACCAGAAGTAGTGATTAATAACATTTCAGTTTGCTATGCTTTCATTTGTTGAGGACCTGCTACCTTGGTCAATATTTCATCCCTGGAGATTTCCCTTTTCACATGTTACTAATCCATTCTTCAGGTTTGGAGAACCAGCCCCTAGTTTTAAACAGTCTCTGATTCCTTTCATATTACAGCATCAACTATGTTTCATTATAAAATACCTTAATATTGAGAAATTAGTAACCATCTTCCATTTGCTGTAAAAGAAGAAAATTAGCAAACTGATGGCAATCTAATAATTTCTGGTTTAAGTTTATAATTTACAAAAAATCTGACATTCACTGTCAATGCATGGTTCTGCATGACTTCTGTATTAGTTTGCCTTTATCTGACCTTCCATAAAATACAGTTACTTTTTCCTAAATAATAACTTTTCATATTCTTTCCAGTTTTTGTTAAAAACACTTTCTGGAATACAAATAGGTCTAGAAACTTACAAAACATCCTCACATTTTCTGCTGTGACTTGGCTCAATTCCTTGAGGGACTGATGGAGATAAAAAGACACCTTTTTCATGGCGGTTTCCCCTCATCCTTATACTCAACATAACCAAGAGCAGTCAGAGGTCAGGGGACAAATGAGAGCTACTCAGCTAAGTGAGACTCTGCAAGTGACAAAGACAAATTGATATGCATGTGGGAAACTGGGATGAATGAAAAATGAAAAAGATGCTCCCACTGCTCTGGCACCTGTAACAGAAGAAAGAAAACCACACACCCTACTATCAGTGTCAAAACTGTTCACAACATTTCTGTTAAGACTGGCTGGAAAAATAGTCTTGACAATCAGAGGGTCGGGCATTTAGGTGTTTTCACAGATTTTATTCAGACACATGAATTCCAGATTGTAAGATATATTGCAAAATAAGTCATATACTTGAAATATCACTCATACATCATGTTTTCTGTTGAAGAACTGGATCTTCATATGCAGACATGCTTCTGCAATCTTTCTGCAAGCAGCCTTAGGTGAGGACCAAAGTTGGAAATCTCATAGGCTCAATCTTTTGATGAAATTTGCAGGACTTCATGATATTAATATGGTCAAAATTTCCAAAATTCCTTCTAAATTCAAAAAGTTTGCTTGAGAGAAAAAAACCTTGGCGATTCAGCAGTGTTCAAGATTTGGTTTGGCTTTAATTTAATTAAAACAACTTCACTCTTCATTAGTTGATACCTTATTGAAGCAAAGCTTTTTACTCCTTTTAAGAATTGCCTCTTTCTGTGAGATTTGGCTTCAGTAATACGGGTAGGACTTTAAATGATAAATAACCTGAATATTGAACAAATGGCAACATTTCACTCATGCAGAGCAGGAAAATTTAGCCCCCATGGGTTATGTTACAGGAAACTCCTTAAATCAAAATGCGGACATTCAATATTGAGGTGCATAAACTATAAGCTTTATTGATCATGTCTCTTGTGACTGGGCACTCCTGCAATGCTAGAGACATAATTCTGCACAGGACTGATTTCCTTCAACTTTCACTTAAGAGTGCCCAGCATCTAAAAATATCATAAAATCCAGTTTCTGCACACATACGTCTCCAAGAAGCATGTGGAAGTATTCTCAAGGGTATTCTATTTCTTCAGCTCTTCTGAAATCCTGGTCAGGCATCTAAGAATCCTGAAGGAAATTAATCGATATGTTTTACAGTGGAGGAGGTTGCCTATTTGGCAATAACTGCAGTAACAGTATGAAATGTCTTCTGATAAGATGCCAATGTCATTTTGTTTTCTGATCTAGTGCAATGCTAGTAATCCATTCTTACCTATTTGCATAACTTTGCTTTATATCAGTTTGAGTGACTATTTACCCGCCATGTATGCTGTGATACTGAGTAGCTGCAGGAAAGGACAGCTAGTGGAGGGTGAAGGGAGATGCCAAGGTTATAAACCAGGGTTTATATTTACAATCAGGCTTTACTTTCAGGGGAAGCTTCTCTAGCAGACATAGGTGCAAATGCAGAACGTCACAGCTCTCTGTCAGGCAACACCCTCCCTGGCCCATTCCTGTAAATAATCCGCAGCGGCATGTTTTATTGCCCTGGAGACACAACATGATGGCTATTTATTTAATTGCTTGGGAAGCCCAGCCAAGGAAGGGTGTCTCATGTTTGGCGTGTTAGTTTCCTGCTTGCAAATTTACAATTTAGCACCGTTTGGGTTTTCAGAGTCTTCTTGTTAAAAGTGCAAGGGGCCAATTTCCCCAGATGAAGCACGACTGCTTTGTCTGCCTCCAAACAGCTGAAATCCCCCAAAAGGCACAGAGCAGCAGTGCAGCCTGCTCAAACACTGGTGTGTGCTGCCCCTCCAGCCACTGATTAATATTCAACATATTCTTCAAGCAGAGCTTTATATCCAGTTCAGTGTTTTCTCTGTCCTGTCCTTTCCTTCCCTCCTCCCACCCGATTTTGTAGACAGACAGCCATAACGCGCAATAGAAGCATAAGTCTTTAAACTGAAAATGTCATCACTTAGGAATACAAGAGAGTGGTATGTGTCATGTATGTCTGCAAAATGCAGTTGCTGTCTGTTACAGTCTGTAGCAACTTTTAAATCTGTCATCACGGCATGAATTTCATGTTAAGCTCCTTCCCAGTGCTTTAGCCAGGAAGTAAAGGGGGGAACATACTGTATCATTTATGGGCATGCTGGTGCTGGGTCAACCATGACATCACTCTCCACTCCGCTGAGCTGTAATGAGGTGAAAAGGCAGCTTTAGAACAACATAGCACTTTATTTATTAGGAAAATTTAAGTGTGCGTGTATTTCAATTTATGATAAAACTGAAAACAAAGGTTATGGACTATAGCTCTCCTACAGCCCAAAGTAAGTAGGGGAGGGAAGGCATTTTGTAGATGATGAGAGATTTAATGCACACTAAGCACAGAAGATTGAAAGTTCTCAGCAGGCTGAAATCCTGTACTGACAGCCCAGCCTATTAGAGATGGTATACAGCACGTTTTGCTGCAATCAAATTGTACTGTGCACTTTGATCAGAGCATGTCACTGAGGCAAGAGTCGAGACCACCTAACATCTTCAAATTCCAAAGGACATAGGCATATAAACTGAGAACAGAGGAAAAATTTTGTGAGGCTTGGAGAGTACAAGAGACCTTGATTGCAGAAGGCTCCCTAGAAACCTGCAACGCTTTTTAAAGCAACATTGAAAAGCTGGGAAGTTCATAACATTTCTCCAAATTAATGCTGAAATATAAGATGGACTACTTTACAATAAGGATTTGTTTTGTTTTTTGATCACAGTTGCAGAAGGTACAAAAGTACAAAAAAAAAGAAGAAAAAAGCACAATGCAGAATGGGTATGATCAGATTTGCAATTAATTGCTCTTGCTCCTTTTTTCTCAACTACAACCATATTATTTTTACCTCAGGCACAGCACCAGCAGCTGGCTTCTTGGAAATGACTGAAAAAGCACCACTGCTGCTAACCTCCCTGTCCTGAATCCTAACTTGCTTCTGTAGAAGGAATTCCTATGCCAGCTGATCACCAGCCTGGTAATCCCGTCTTCCTTGGCATACACAACAAACCCCACATCCATAGTATTAAAAAAATACTTTCAAAACACTACATGCAAGCTGGAGTTTTTCTGTCTGTAAAATCTGAATACTGTATGTACCAGATCTATGACATAATCATAAATACACTACTGCATATAATTAAATAGAGGATTATATCTAGATCTAGCTCTAATTAAAAAATACAGTTTGATATTGAAATTCTTCTTTCCTGATTACAGCATATTATTTTAACAGCTCTGGTCCCAAGAAACAGCCTGAAATTGGTCTGTAGCCAGGATACCTAGGGTTCTAACCTCCCTAAACATCACAGACTTCTAATACCTCGAAAATGTCTGAACAGTATTTGGCAGAAAAAAAATCCATGAAAAGCCCATCTGGAAGAGATGGTGTCAGCCCCTGAAAAGGGGGTGTTCTTTATTTCAAATTGGTGGTAAGCCAGTGTCTCAGTATGGTGCTAACATACAGTGCACTGCCTGAGTTGTAATTTCTCAGATGAAATA